TAATATATATTATAAATAATAATAATATAATAAATAAATAATATATATATATATATATATATATATATATAATAAAAATATACACATATATATTTTATTTAAAAATTTTATTTAAAAATTTTTTAATATATCTATTTATATAATTCTCTAATTCTATAAACATGATATATCACATATACCCCAGCAAACATTAACATGTTACATGTAATATAAATGTTAATTATAATTTTCTACTCAGCATCATGTAATTGTTATATAACAGCAACCAAGATTCTGTTTATCGAGAAATGGGCTATGTTTCTTGTTGTACTTAACATCTTATATTATGTCAATACTTATTGTTTATACAGTATGCCCTTTTCTAACTTTTACAAAATATCTCGAAAAATGTGGAAGATACGGAAAAACGTTTCAGATAAAAGTTGTAGGATTTCAAGAGGACCATATGATTATGGTATTAATTTATTTATATGTAGCCGTACGTAATTGCATAACTGCAAAATGCATAATCTTTTTGAAAAGCAACTATGTGTTTTCTTTATACCAATTTATTTATTTATCTTATTATTCTATTTATTTATCTTATTATTATCTTATTATCTTATTATTCTGTGCATATTAAGATTTACCAAGCATTTACTAAGAAAATAGTTTAGGAGATATTTTATGTTTTATGTTAGAATATGCTAGAATATAAAATACCTCGTAAACTATTGACTTTTTGATATTTGTATTTTAATACTTTTATATTCAAAATAACTGAAGCAATCATATTATATAACAAATATATATGATTCCATTTAAAAAATAATGTTAATTTTGAAATTTTTCAAATGTCTTTATTTATAAAAAAATTTATACACTATACAATGACTCTCTCGAAATTATGCAACTTTTATATGTAACACTTTTTCATACAACTTATAATTTACAAGTTTTTTGAAATGTGCAAGTTAAATATCCCACCCTATCATGGTAATTAGTTATAACTATTATAAATAAATAAACTATTACTACTATAAATAACTACTATAATAACTACTATAATTACTATAACTATTACTATGAAATAAAATATTGTTATGATATTATAAAATATTGTATATATAAAATATTGTTTATGAAATAAACTAATATAAACTAAAATTCATCTTTTTTATTTTAAACGTGTTAAAATTATTATCAATAAAACATTAGGAAAACGTTTAGAGAATGTCATAAAGAATGTCTAAAAGTTGTCTTATAAGACGTTCAAAAGACATTTAATAAGACGTTTAAAAAATGTCTTGTAAAATATCCAAAAATTGTCTTATCAGACGTCCAAAAGTTGTCTTATAAGACGTCTAAAATCGGGACATAAGACGTCTTTTAGTCGTCTTTTAGATGTCTTTCTGTACACCTTTCCGAAAAACCATTAGGACATATTTTAGTCGTCTTTAAGACGTCTTAATGTTTACTGGGTTTCTTTATTATTATTCTATTACCATTATTTATTATTATACATTTTGAAACATGTATATAAATTTTAGATATTATAAGTATACATATACGCATATATGTATATACA